CCCCCATCATTCACTATGGTAAGATTTTTTGTTCTGATGATGCCTTACACCTGATCCCTTCGACACCTCGTGGTTGCATAGGCTGGGGCACACTTTCTTATAATGTGGTAAATTTTAAAATATTCATATAATTGGATTAAACTATTTTAAGATTACTTAGCAAATAGAAAATAAAGAGTGAAGCTAATATGTTTCACACTTTCCTGGAGTCTGATAAATCTTAAATTTGTAGACCACTTCAAAAAAACTAGAGGATGTAAAATATCAACCCACTATTAAAAATAAATAAATAGGGTTTATGTACAAAGCAAATACATTCAAGTGTGTTCATCAAAACGATTTATGAATAACATTCTGAAAAACTGAGATTCCCAGAGCACTTACTTGTCCTCAAAGACCCAGAGGCAGTTCTTTGAACAGAACAAGGGATACTGCCGATTTAAATTCAAGAAAGATGTGCATCAGGTATGTATCTTTTCATCATATTCATTCAACCTATGTGCTGAGCAGATAACCCAAGGAGCTAGACTATGTCAAGAAGAACACGACATCGTGATTGGAGGAAGGTTTGTTAATAACCTGCGGTGTGCAGATGATGCAGCCTTGCTGTTAAATGAAGAAGACTTGAAGCTTTTGCCGATGGAGATCAAAGAGTACAGCCTTCAGTGGGCATTACCACTCAACTTAAAGAAAATGAAAATCCTCACAAGTGGGAAACAGACGTCATGTAAAGTAGAGAAAATATTGAAATTGCCAACGATTTTATTTTGCTTGTATTCACAATCAGTGCTCACGAATGCAGCAGGCTGGAAATCAAATGACATATTTCATTTGGAAATCTGCTGCACCAGGCCTCCTTAAAGAGTGAAGATGTCACTTGTAGGAATAAGGTGTACCTTTTCAAAGCCAGTGTATTTTCAGTCACCTTGTATGCACATGGCAGCCACACACTGACTACAGAAGATTGGTAAAGAAATGATGTATTTGAATTATGGCATTGGCAAAAAATATTGAAAGTACCATGGGGCTCAATAACAAGCAAATCTGCTTTGGAGAAGGGCAGCTCGACTATTCGTCAGAAGACAGAATGCTTAGACTTGGTCTCGGGTGCTTGAAACGTGTTTTCAGGAGACAGCAGTCTCTAGAACAGTGAAATAGTTTGTCTAAAAGAGGAGAAACACTCGCAATACAATGGATTGACACAGTGGTTGCAGCAATGGCTTAAACATAAGGACAAGTGTGAGGATCCATAGGGCAGGGCCCTCTTTCATTCTCTCCAATATAACATAGCCACGAGAGAGGACTTCTCCAGGGTCCCAACCAACCACAGCAAGAAGTACAAAGTGCCCTCCACACTAAGCTCATCCCATAAAAATACATTTGTGCCTATAGCCGTAATCTCAGGAGAAAGCTGAAACGCAAAGAATAAATCTTGTACTGTGTACGGTTAAAAGATGTTGGCCAAGAATGTTAGCACAATTTATGGTAGGGGGGTTACTCTAATTCCTAACCCAGGCGGTTAGGAAATAAATAAGATTAAGGCCTTCCATAATCTTATAGTAATAATCAGTCAACTAAATCTTAGTTCTAACTTCCTGATTCCCTTAGATCAGTATTGATGTTATTAACTCTATGAGACCTCCACTCAACTTCTGGTAACTGCTGGTAAATCTGTAACTTAAAAAGAGAATCTGTAATTTACGCTAGGGCCATAGCTTGTTACTTTGGGACAAGTGGAAGAGGCAGACAGGCGAGCCGACTCAATTGTTCTCGACAAATTGTCTTGTTCAACAGACTTGAGAATTCAAAACATACACTTACTGATTTGAAGAGAGGTGTTTATTAAAGTTTGACAAACAACTATAATTTTTTTTATTTTTTGGCTTGTACCTCCTGTGTACCTGTGAACACTGAGCACATGTTTGCTTCACCCTATAAAGACCTGTCTATTCTTGGGCTTTGGGACGCTGCAGTACCGCACTGTGGTAAGTGCTCCTGTGATTCTTGATTTGCAAATCAATGCTATCCTTCAATGTTTTCATTTCTAGTCAGTGTCAAGTCTTACTTTGATTTTAAGGTTCTTCTTACCAAATATTATCCTTAAAACATCAGGTTCAAATCTTGCCAGTGACTTTTGCATCTGAAGTGGCTAATCCTTACTTTCCTGTCAGAAGTCAGGCTAACTTAATTTAAATTACAGAAGAAATCATAGCAAGGCTGGGGGTGGGGGTGGGGAAGGGGGGACAGAGGGACAGAGACCATCTTGTGATGATATACTAATTGACCTCAGTAAAAGAGGGAGGGTCCAATCATCTTGTTAAAAGTAGCCAGTGGTTGATCTTTGATTCTTTCTCTTGTCTTTATCATTCTAATTATAAACCACTTTACCTCTAGCCTTTAT